GAAAGGCATTCATTAATTTCTCTGTTCTGAAAATAAAAAATCAGAGCGGGTTATTTAGAAAATCCAATTGACTGATTGTTGCTCCTCCACCACATACATATGTCTAGCCATTAACAATTATTAAAGATGAGATCGTCAGTTTATGTTGCAAGTTGTTCATTTGATTGGATATTTGATATTACAAGCAAGTTAAATCCCGTATTCCATTTGTTACGTATTGGTATATAATATGCGGAGGTGGGTTGTGTATAATAGCTACACTGCCATAATCGCGCGGTCTGTGGATGTGACCAGATCGATACTCACCCAGGTAAGTCGAGTCTTCTATCCCTTCGAGGCCGGCTGGTCATCACCCTAAGAGAACCGTCTGGGAGGGTAGATCTGCTGAGTTATATCGGCTACCCAACCCAAATCATTGTAAAATTCATAAACGCATTCCAAACATGGGCGCATCCCTGAAACGGAATGTCGAAGACTTCATCGTTATAACTTTATAATTGTTTGTTGTCTACTAATAAAAACGAATATTAAATGCCTACCTTATTTGTTATCTACTTATAAGAGCAAATTAAAATTAAGTAACAATTTGACAGCGCCTTAGCCCTGCACCAACCCTAAAGGAATTGCACCTTAAGGGTTGGTGCAGTGCTAGACATTGTAAATCTCAATACCCAGTCTTCGGAACCGAAACCGACCAACATTTCCACGAAGAACGAGCGAACTTGTACAAAAACTTTGGTGAAGAAAAAATGCGATGACCTTTTGACATCTGTCGACCCTACAAATCATTATTTAGGCCAAATATGCATCTCGATTTTTCTTAGTAGAGTTGAAGGAAAAATGAAACGAATCGGAGTCAGCGGTGAATGTATAGAGCAGTAAGGCATAAAGAACGAAATGTTTTAGCGATGAGCAGTCCCGTTAAAGGGATGCGCCCCGCATTCTACATGAATTCAGAATGGCAGTGGCGCATTGAATGCGTGTGTGGCCTATACACTGACTTGGCAGTGGCCATTCAATGTACAAGTCAAGGCTTTTATCCTCCCAGATGAGTATGGTACCAATTAACCGACCCCGTGGGATAGAAGACTTGGTTGTCCTAGGCGGATATCGATAAGGGAACCATACCCGTGACCGTGCGCGTGTGAAGGTGGTTCACTTGCCACTAGACCACCTCCGCCAAAGTACCCACTATATTGCATATTAACATGATATCATTAGCATACACTACGTTATTTACAATAAATTATATTGAACTATATTACACTCTATTAAACTGTACTATACTACATATAAGGATATTACAACTATTATGTTGCCACATCACTTCCGCCCTGCTTACATTAAATGCTGTAAAAATCTTAAGTGTTTCTGACTTAATTTTCGAGTAATTTGACTCCCTGCTAGTACCTTACACTACCGATGTGGCAGAGAAGTTTGAGGAAAGTAAATTGACTGCACCCTGTCGGCGACGGCAATGTTTACAATAGCGCCTTTTTACAGCAAAGACGGCATTCACTCCAGTGAAACCCAACTTTTGTGTGAAAGACGTATCGTCCCTGACGCCAACATTTTAAGTAGTTCGATTCCAACCCATTGCTATGCTGTCCTCATTTCATAGTTGCGAACAGGTATACGGCCTGGCAGCTGTTTCTGACTTATGTATGTATTGGGTTGAGCCATAAGTAATGTAAATCAGCCATGTTGATAGTCAAATAAAGGTCTTTTATTAAAAGTAAGCTATTTTATATAGTATTCTTGGTCACAGTTTTTTTGCTCAGCAAGACGTGACTTTCTTTGTTATCTTGAACTTGCCGGAATCACTTTTTGCCAGAACCTTTTTTTTGCCAAAATTTTGGCTGTGCCGTTTTTTGCACGAAATTTTCTTCTAGCCGTGCTTCGAATTCAATTTGAACTTTTACACTTTATTTTTGACCGCTTGTCTCAGCCTATGTTGTGTTTGCGACTCAAAATGGTTTAGGATAGGTTCAAGTCATCCCATCTCCAGTTGACAGGGTTTATGACTCTACCTCGAAATTTATTTTTGCTTTAAAAAATTCAATTCCTAAATAATATGAATTTTCTACTACTTTCAATTTCTAAAACATTTTGATATTTCCTCAATCCCTCGCAGCTCGGCCTTTAAGTCTTATTTCCTCGTACAGAATTTACTGAAACCAACCATTTCTGGAGGAAGAACAACGATGTGACACGACTGGAGGCTAAAGATTTCGTTTGTTTGCCTTTCCATATAGAAAACTGAGTTTGACATCAATTTTGAGTTCTGTTGGGTCTCAATATGGCCATTCTTGCCTGCTGCAGCTCCCACTTTGCTAGCCTGAATCTTAGTGATCATGGCAGTCAAGCTAGTTATTTGTACAACAATTGAGAACCTTATTTGTAGAACGGTACCCACTAAATGATATACGATACAACCTGAAATGCTGTTAATTCAGAGGAAAATGATCATTTTAGAAACGTTACTCATCTTGGTACAACCCAATAGTTTTACCCTTTGTGTTATCACTTGCTACTTCAATCTTCCACCCCGACCTTGATCACAACTCGTAGCCTGGACTCGTGCCTTTTTCACTTGATCGTCAATTTTTTTCGTCAGTTCTATCTCTTTGGGTCCACTGAGTACATATGTCGCTATGGTTTTCATTCATCTGCGATGTTCTTACAGAAATTCTGAGTCCTAGCTAAACGTTCAGATGGAGATGAATCTTTTTTCCTGTTCTTTGCCCATTTCACAATTAAATCCATACTTCTACGTTTTTCCCATCAATCGATTTGTAGTTCTACATATTCCCCATTACTAAACCTACATTGGGTTGTTACTGAAGTAGGTAAACACGTGAGTATGAGTGTTGGATCTGGGAGAGTATAACAGGTTAGGGTCTTCAACCGTGATAGGTTATAATGAACATTAAATTTAATCAAAATCATTACTTGTAGTTGGTAGTTAGCTAAGGTAAGACAGTAGTGAAGAATGCAGCACTTTTCAACGTTACAAAATCTGATCTTGACAGAACTAATACTCCCAGTCATTCCATGATGGCTCACCTTAGTAGCCAGCACGCTTGTTTGGGAGCGGGACGTTACTGTATAAGTAAGATTGGCTGCTCCATATGAGTGTGAGCCTACGCTACAGGATAAAATTGCGTGTCAGAGGCCGTCAAAAGATTGATCATTCCAGGCGAGCTTTCTTTTGATTACTACAAGATGAACCAGGAGGTGAATGAGTGAATCGTTTCAAGCTAGAACGAACACCAACAAAAGCCTTGACTTTTAGTCGTCGCAATTATCGTTACACTACACTATTCAGCATGATTAGTGTGGTGTTGTGTGAGCGTAGTGTAAAACTGCCTTTGTTTGATAAAACTGGTCGATTCTCTTTACCGGAAATGATGCGGTGAATTAGAAAATGAGCTGGATAAACTGGCGAGAACTACATAATCAGCATGTTCATGCATCGTTGCTAAAAACGCTCGATTTGAACTTTGTTCGTTTGCTTACTTGTGGAATCGTATTTGTGAACGAGAGGGAACCTGACAGGCTTCTGTGTCTTCCCTTTGACAATGAGGTTTTTTCGTAGTTCTAGCTGCTATGGGTGCTAGTTCAGTCGAAGTAACATCACCTTTTACATTAGGGCCAAATGCCGTAGAAGGATGTGTCTTGCCATCAAGGATTCTGAGGCCAAGTTCTGCCTAAACGATTTGAAATTTCTCAAATCTCTGCGGCACTCACTAGACATTTCGCGCTGTAATATATGAGGGTCATGATCAGTAGATCTTTTTCCCAATTTATATCAAGTTTATGAATCAACCTCCTCAGGCAATTTAATTTCCTCTGAATCTACAATTCACTATTCCTTTTCATTTACATTTTACATTGTAACTTATTAAAAATTCGATATTGTAAAGTTGAGTTTGAATAATTCATGCGTTCCTCACTTCCTCACTACTATTTGTGGTCAATGATGATTCATAGAGCTCAGGATCGTCTGTACGGATTCTCTTATGTGCAAAGCAGGAATTTTTATCGTTAGCGAGATCCCCCGACAGCAGTGCAGTCTATATGTGGGGTTGATGTGGCGAAAAAGAAAATTTCGATGGTCGTAGCAGGCACCTAATAGCAGAAGTGCACCTATGTATCTGAGTAAACGTATGTTTCCGTGTCGACTCAGTGCTTGAGTTTGAATAGAAGAGCGCAGAAAATGCACTCGCTGCAAATGCTCTGAGTCATGCTCTCGTAGAAATTGCCTTTAGTTCAGTGGCATACAGTATCCTGCCAAATATGTGCCAAGATGTTGACAAATTGCAAGAGAATTCTTTTTGTTCATTTTAGAGAGAATGCGCATAAATCTTGTTTGCATGAAATGATAACATCAGTCAAGCCATGAAAGTAAATTTCTAGGAAGACTGGAATACCGGTTAGGCTTGCCTTATTGGTTTCTAAACATTTAAAGAACCCACTCCTTCACTTATTTATACGCTTACCAGTAAAACGGTATTTATATTTTTCAAAGGGTCCAACAGCTTCAGTCTCTAAATCACTCACCGGTAATAGGGGTAATAAGTCGTTCTGTTTTCCTATGCTTGCTCCGATCTGCACGCAATGGAAGCGTTACATCCGCTTACTGCGTCGCCACAGCGTCGAATTGCAAGGATTCCGCAAAAAAAATCAATTTGTCTATGATAAACTTCTGCTTTTTCGAGGCTCAGCGGAAAATTAAATTTTTTCAGGGCTTTTCGCATTTGTTTCCATCTTATCGTTAAACGTTGATCAGAAATTTCCTCATTCCTATCGTTGCTTTCTTTTTTTTCACCCTATTCATTGTCAACTGACTTTCGGGAACTTTAATTACCGTTTCAGTGGCTCTTTAGCTTTGAAACTCTGCCATGCCCTTCCTGAATGCCCGAACGTGTGTTTTCGTGCAGCAAGAAGGAATTGAGAATCAGTTTTGCACATGTTCATTCCAGGAAAAGACGTAGAAAATGTTGACAGCCTTGCTTCTCTGCGGTCTGCCTCTCACATTCGCCATAGATTGTATGGTACCGAAAGATGTCGGTGTTCAATGCGATGAACCGTCTCAACGAATGTTTTACTACGATAGTCATTACAGTAAGCTGACAATATTACCTTTTCGGTCCATTAATCTCAGCTTCTACATTACTCAGATTTTTTCAATTTCAGAAGTCTGCCAGCCATTCCAATATCGTGGATGCGGAGGGAACTCCAATCGATTCGCCACGTCTAAGGAATGTAAGGAAACTTGTCCAGGTGGAAGTTCGAAGAGCCCAAGCAACGATGCCCCTAATGAAGCTGCTCTTGCCGGCAGTGATGCAGTGTTTGTACCCAGGGGGACCTCACACGATCAATGGATGAAAGGTTAGCTCAGGATTTTCTCTCAGGCATTGCAAGTTTGGCACAAAACTATCCGGTCATTTCACCTGACGTCAGATAAGTATGGGCTGTTTTCCGCATTTCGAAATACCACTCTCGAGATCTAAGGGTAGAAATAGTTTTGATGCCCATCCCTGGTGATAGCTGGTGCTTGCTACTCTTTCGGGTAGATGCGGATGCAAGCTGAGAGTCTAGTTGATTCTGCAAGGCCTACTCTCAAAACTAATGAGCCCTGCTTCCTCGCGAACGTGCGCGGACTACAAGATCACTACCCTCCAATACCAAACAATTCAATATTTAAAAATTTTAGCTGAGAAGTGCGGTTCGAACTATCTTATTCCCAATGCGCAGTACATTCATCCAAATCCGTCTTGTCCACCTAACCACGAAGTAAAGAACGGTGTCTGCTGCCCAACGAGAGGTTTGTCTTCATAGCGACTTTTGATTTTACCCTCAAACTTTAATTCTATTGTTTACCAATATGATCTTATTTTTGAATAAAAAAACCGACTCACTGAATCAAGTGAATTTCATATCACTTGTTAGAATGAATCTCGAATTAAGATTACGTCTGTTCACTTCGTGACGATTCGGGCTCCTTCGTAGATGGCATCGAGGATCGACCACGGTGAGAATACTGTACCTATCTTCGACTTTCTAATTAGTTGAATGTAGTTGATTACAAGTGTTTCCGACCGCTTTATAAACTTTATCATCATTTCAGGTTTTCATGGAATCATGCCGTTCATTCATGCGAACGCTTCAGTTACTTCGGTGCAAACGGAAATTACAACAATTTTCCGAGTTTTTATAGCTGCCTAAATTATTGTAAAGAATCGCATCCGTTAGAGTAGCTCAGTACCCGCCATAGGGGTAAAGTGGATAGTATTGAAATGAGACTTCTGAAATAACTCTAGTCCTTCTGGCTAGTTAATAACCTTGTTTCCTTATCTGTCGTTAATTACTCTTATTAATAAGTTTGAAAGCGTATTAGTCTCACTATTTCCTATACAATGTGCTTAGTTCAATTACTGTAAGTTTATTTTGTGATAGGTACGCTCTACGAAGTGGTTGTGTATACGGTTCCTTAGACTTATTCTTTTCGCTTAGGTCTTACTGTAGATGAAACTCGTGACGATTCGATTCTCCAGTATTTCAGGTCGATTCCTGTGAATGATGCAATGTAGTTCTTCAGTTCTCATATGTTCCGCCTCATTTGAAATTTTGGCTTTACGTATATGTTGTTCAATAAACTTTTCATAAGTGCATAGTAGTCGATAATAATGTCGTGAGATAATGTGAGGTAGATTCCATTCCTGGATAAAGCTTTTCACTTGAGGTGGACTTTCCTTAAAGCTTCTACAGAGGAATGGGCTGACCGTAGTTCTTCCGCTGCGTCTTCAGAACTGTTTTCATATGAAATATGGAAACAATTTGAAGACACAACTGCAACTAGAACGATGAAAATGCAGAATTGCTAAATGCAATTTTGTTTGGGTGGATACGCTACTACTTTATTACACCTCCAGCTATCAAACTCAAAATCTTCCTAAGCGGGGAAAGTAACATAAGAGTAGGGGGGCAAAGGGGCTACACGTTCCTCTATCAGAACGTGGTCAATCGATTCATAAATGACTGATTCTTGATTACTAATTCTCGAAAAATCCATAACTCTAAGGCTAACAAATCTCCTTCAAAACAGAATGATCGTCGTTTCCCCATTGGATTGTAGGCGTGCAAGCCCTACTATCATCCACCAAATAAACAAAATAGTTACAGAACGTGTAGTGAGAACAATAGGAAACTTACTGCGCGAACAACAAAAAGCGCAACTGTTCAAAAGCCGAAACAGTTCTACAGTCTGTAAAAAAGTAGAGAAAGCGAGTCAGCGATCTAATCATGCCGCGAAATGGAAATTGGCACTCGTAAGTGATCTAAAGCTATCAACGGAAGGAATATCTAGCGAGGCAGAACTAATTACAGCACAAAGGATGATCAAACTGCCTATCAACCTGACTATATTCTAATGAAAATCAACGGTAAAAATGGCAATGTTGGAAAAGTCACCGAATGCGCCAAAAAACGACAGATCAGAATATCTCTACAACTTTAGACCACGCTTAAATAGCGCCGATAAACCTATAGCGCAAGTATAACAGTAAGCACTAAAACCAAAGATCGCAAAAGCAAACCGGCGAAATCACACTGCCGAAGGAATGTTTCACGCAGGAAAGGAAAAAAAGAAGAAATAACGAGGAAAAAAGCCATTCCCAAGCAAAAAACCAAAAACTGTGCCCACACTCAAACATTGGAGGGATTTGAACGTCCCATGAATACAAGTGATTGTGATACGTAAAAACTCGATGCTCGAACGTCGCTATGGGGACTTCACTTGTGGTACCTTTTTGTTGCGTCGTGTATGTGACGGGTGTCTGAAGGCGCTTCAGTGTGTCTTGGGGTTACTGTGAAATATTGGGTTGTCCGAAAAGTTTCCGCCGATTTCTGACTCATCTTTGACTGAAAATTTCTAGAAGAATAAATCCGTTGATTGAACGATATATCCTCCATTCTGTTCAAAGAGGATTCGCCATCTTCCTGTGAGTTTCAATACCCCCCTGCCATAGGGTTCCAGACTTAAAATGGAAAAACCCTTTCAGGTGCTCTCTGCTGTCCCCCAGCAGCTTGAACGATTTTAAATCCAAAGAGTTCTGCAGAAACCTAAACAAGTGTTATTCTGATGGCGCTATGTCCGGACTATATGGGGGGTGTGACAAGACATCCCACCCAAGCTCCAGCAATTTTGGACGAGTGGCCAAAAATACATGTGGCCTGGAGGTATCTTGTTGGAAGCCAACGCCCTACGATTGGCCAGTTCGGGTCGCTTCTGGTTTATCGCTGCCTCCAAATTGTCAAGCTAGGTATACTACCTTTCAGAAGTTATCGTTCGATTATGCGACAGCAGCTCATGATAAGTGATTTCCCTACAATCCCACCAGCAGCACAGCATATCCCGCACCTGGATTTTGACTTTTGCAGCGGTTTGTGACGGCTCACTGGGAGGGCTCCACGATCGTTTCCGCTCCCTGTTGTTGTATGCGTTCCACTTTCGTAGCCGTACTCATGCCTTTTAAAGACAACACATTTTTGTTTCGTTTGAACAAGGAGTCGCACAGGCGCCGTCCATCATATTGCGCTCGCTCATTTCGTGAGGTATTCCAGCATCAAGACGCTTTACGAAACCGAGTTAAGGCAGATGATTAATTTCGAAACATTAAGCTTTTAATCTACTTGACGAGAAATGCTGTGCCGATTCACTTCCATTTTTTCATTTTGATCGTTTTGGTCGTTTTGACTGATGATAGCCCCCTGAAAGCTGACGGTCTTCGAGGGCGAACTCACTTTGTTTGGATCATGCACTGTATCTACCTCTAGAGCATTGTCTACTCAAACGTTGCAAATCTTTGGATCGCGGATTGAGACGCATTCTAGGCCTCGCGGTAGATGAAATGCTTTACATGCCAAAAATGCACCCAATGGTTGTCAATTTTTACACGAGTCTTGCACTGAAAAACTTCGATAAATGTTGACAGAGTCCCAACAGTAATATAGAAGAGGAACTACTCTTTCAGAAAACATATAACACTATATGGTTAGGTCCCTGATCTTTTGTACAACAGTTGATGAACTAAGAGCGTTTAAAATCGGCGGAAACGTTTCGGACAACCCAATACTTCACGGGACGATGAAGTTCGTTCTGTCATTAGAACGTGTAGTGCAATGGTTGCAGTTGCATAATGACTGAGTCGTTCAACTAGTGATTTGTCAACGGTCTTTCAGCGAAGCCAACTAAATTTACAGGTTCCTTCGCAAAATCTGGCAAAATGCCAAAAAAAAANNNAAAAAAAAATTGTCTTCACACTGCAACTGGACACACTAAAGAGACTTGTACCTACAGTTGGCTTCTGGCAAGATGCCACGGTCGTAGCCTGTCAGTTCTGATCCGCGCATTGTCGGATTGCAAAGTGGCATTGTTTTGGACACAACGCGGAAATGATGTAGTCATTAATTATGCTGAGTAATAGAGAATAAAACTGAATTAGGTTGTATTTGCAAATCTAAGGCGCGTCATCTACTTCGTTAGAATTATTCGCAATCATGAAGTCATGATCAAATTGACTCGTGTAAAACAGTTATTGACCTTTATCGACCTGAATGGACCTTCCATTTTTTCACGATTGTTTGGAGAAGGTAGCTGGTTGAGATAAAACTGAATGCACGTAGTTACCAGGCTTCCTTCTCGCCGGAGTGCCTTGAGCTGTTTTTGTCGGTGATGGAATGGGCTTAACGTGATAATGAAATGGAACTTCTTCACGTCATTTTCAGTGTCCCAGATGTTTTCCTCATTTTGAAACACTGCGTTTTGGACCTTCACATTGATACGGGTGTGTTCCCGGATCCTTGACGTACAGTGTGGAGTTTCCAGTTAATTTTAGTATATCTAACGCCCTGATTTTTCGCCGATTAGGACGGAAGATTTTCAGAATTGATATGCCTCTCCAACAAAACCTAGATCTGCTCTGCTCTAGCAACATGACATGATTATTAGTAAAAGCACACAGCGTCGACTCGATTATATTGAGTGCTATCAAAGATAATTTTGAAGTTGATCAAGGTTGATCATCTCTCTTTAAGTAACGAATATGTTAAATATATGTGACATCCTACTAACTCAATAATCACTCATAAGTCGGGGCTCGTCGACGATACGATCTTTTCTTACCTCCTTTCCGCGTTGTTACGTTATCATGCTTGCGAGGACAGAAGGCTAAAAGACTGAATATGAGACAAGGAAGTATCTAGAAAAACACCATACAAGCTGAATATGAGACAAGGAAGTTCCTAGAAAAACATCCTATTAGAAATGGTGCACAAATAAATACACCGGTGTGCAAAACTTAGGGAAGAAGCAACCCTCGATTACTGTACCTCTGCCAGACTGCAGAGCTCGATGAAATTCATACCACACCGATAGAGGACCATTACGGTGTTGCACAGGAAGCAACTGACAGGAAATCGAAATCGAGTAGATAAGACATTTCTATTCAAAGGTACCGATTACACATAGTTCCTCACAATTCATCCTAGTACTTTAAATGAAGCGACACGGTTCAATAGGGTGTGTGTTCACCACGGACAGCAATAAATGCTCTGCTATGCAGCCCCAGACGTTCCACAAGGTTGGTGACGAGTTCCTGATGTTAGCATTCCACTCCTCAACCGGCACAATTGAAAATTGTTGGATGGTCACTGGTGCATTTGGACGTGCTGCAACGCGTCTACCCAGTGCATTCCACACCTGCACCATGGAATTTAGGTCGGGGAAACAGGCAGGCCACTCCATTCGTCGAATATGATATTGTGCCAAGAGCTCCTCACATGTGCTATCTATAAGGTCGCGCGCACTGTCATCCATAAAAATGAATCCAGTGCCCACTGCGGCCTTGGTAAGATGCACATGGGAAAGGAGCACCTCGTTACAGTTGACTGGTAAGGGTTCCATGGTCAATAATCTGGTGGTCAGTACGGTTATGCAGCATGATGCCTTCCCCTACCAATACACCTCGACCACCAGAACGATCACATTCGACAGTTGCTGGAAAAGTTGCGTATTTGTACCTCTCGCCATATAAGAGTGAGTTCAGAATCACAACTCAGATTGAATATGCTCTCATCCGTGGAGAGCACACGAATCCATCTCTTATCGGTTCATTCGCTGTGCTCCTAGCACCACCCTAAACAATCTCGCCGATGCACGAGGGTCAAAGGAATACAACGTAGCGGTCATCGGGCGAATAGACCGCCATCGTGCAGTCATCGTGCCACTGTAGTGAAAACGAAAACAATTTTTTTGTACCTATCAACTGCCCCGATTTGTGTAGGCAGCCTTATTTCTCGCTTTATTTGAACTATTCCTCTAGAGAAGACAGACTTCCTTAGCATAACCGTCATAGACCTGGCAATATTCTCCCACACTTTCATTTATTTCCACCCAGTAGTCAATGTTTTATGTTACATTATTCATCTCGTCCCTAATTTTTACACACCAGCGAAGTTGGAGAAGGTTGAAAAGAAAGGTAGTTTAGGAACCATTCGAGACGAGGCGCTTGGGCGAACTTCCACGGAAGCTAGTCTCTTCTACAATCCTCTTCTTACTCACCAACGTGCTTAAGCCAAAATGTTACACTGCAATTTAAACATGTGGGGATCTGAATTAGGGCACGACTACGGCCGTGGCATCATGTTAGCAGATGTCCTATGGCGAATATTCGCCTAAGTTGGAGAGTTGCCACAGAAAATGTAGATTCTGTGGCTTCGCTTATGAGCAGTTATCAATCACGAGATAAATGACTCAACGTTTGTGTCGTTTTCTCCACACCTCCTTTGATAACTATCTCATTTCAGAGGCATAGAGTGCAGACGGAAAAGTCCGGTCTACCCTCACTGCTTATTACGACATCATATAATATATAGCGAAAAAATTGCACGTTGTATTCATATTGACTCACTGTTGCTGTGGCTTAAAGGCACCGTTCACGATAAAAAAAGTTGTTGAGTTCTTACCTTATAAATAGTCAGCGGCCCCCATGGGTTGTAGAAGGGACCCTCTCACTCCCCCAATCTCGAAGTCCAGGGCATAGTGGCAGCCCCGTTGTTGCCGTAGTTCGCGTTCCCGCCCCTCGATCAGTGTCACGTTAGACGAGTGTCGAGACAATACAGATTGCTACTATTCGTTCTAGGACCCACGCTCAATCAGCTAATCGCCGAGCGTTTTTTCGAAGCGTTTTTCAGTTTGGAAATACCGATGCACGCAGTTTCTTCACCTCAGTCCCACTACTTTCGATCTTGTCTTCCATTTTTCATCATAATCTGGATTACCGAAAATTGTAGTGAACGGTGCCTTTAAATTGAATTCGTACATCTCAATGTATCTAGTTTCAACTTAAGGATATATCGATTCCTTGTTGTCATCGTATGATGCAAATTTAACATGCACCAAATGAGCGAGTATGTATAAAGAAGATGGAGAGAGATCTCAGGCCATCCTCGAGCCTGTTTCGGCTCGCCCATGGCGGACACACCGCACACTCTCACCATCCCCACAAAAATATCACCCTGGGCCACCTACCAATCGCATCAGGGGAAGGTGGCTACGTGTGAAAGCTCATCAAGAAGAGGGAGGACTTTAAAAACTCATAAATATTTGTGGAATTCACCAGGTATTACGTCTATTACGTCGAATCGTCCATGATCTTTATTTGCTGTCTTCCGTCTCTTATACCACACATGGCTCTGTGGACGGAATGACGACTTGCACCCGAAAACCTTGTGTTGTAATCCACACATTCTCAGAGAATGACGACTTGCGACTATGGCTAATAATCCAGATGATGGCTGCAAGGAGTTTTTGCACTGCTATCTCGCATTGAAAGTCATGAGGTTATATCACTTGATTCCAGCTTTCCGCGGTGTATATTACGTAGAATTGCAGTCGTCGGAGGAAATTATCGTGCTCACCCATGGGGATATGGCAAATCAGCCGCATGCGCATCTGTGGAAGGATGGGAAGTAGAAGCCTCCCACCAAGACGACATGCACAACGTAGGGCACTTCGAACGTCTTAGGGAAGATATTCATAACTTTCATAATCGCAGCTTGTTTTTCGGAACCTCCCTAAACCTTGCGTTTATCGTTTCCACCGATTCCTATTCGTGTGGCGACTATGGCGATACCTCCCAAGTCTGGCGATCCGAAATGGAAGTACTCCAGGAATATTCCATTCGGAATGGACACGAAAAGCATTGTTGATAAATAAGGTAGGCGTAGAACGGATTATCAAGTATAAGCTCCTGGGCATCGAATAGTTTTTTGACACTTTGCAACAGTTGAATTCTTCTGCTTGCCGCAAGAATGAGGTATACAGGAAAGCACCTATGTTGAGGTAGATCATCTAGATCCATAACTGCCTTCCGAATTTGTGATCTGGAAATCATGGTTTTTTTTGGGGGACCGCTTTTTCACAAAATCGGTCATATCTCGGTTTCTAGGGAAGATAGAGACTTGTTCTTTTTTCCTTTCGATTACTCTACTCAAAATACATCTAGATCCATAACTCGCTT